ATTTTGGTAATTACATGACTTATGTTTAGCTTCTGAGCGGGGATGAATATGGTGATTTAAGGCTTACCGCCGTATCCATAGTTAAAGGTGACCATTTTATCAGCATGAATGTCACTAACAACGTCAACACTTGCCCCTTCAAAAAGAAAAGACAAAATATTAAGAAAAATAATAATAATAAAAAGACAAATTGTAATAATAATATCGACTGCTCAATAAATCACCCATTGAATGCTATCTCTGGGTCAGTTTAAATCCTTTGAAGTCTCTGAGTTGTTGCCGCCATCTCTGAAAAGCAAATATAATCCGATGTTTATACGAGTTTTATTACTGATTCTGTAACCTGTAATCTTTTTTTGCTTGCAAACTTGACATTTGTTTGTTTTAATAATTTATAAGTCCTCATATGGTTGCCTTTTTAAATGATTCATTTATTTAATAATGTTGCTCATCACTTATTGCTAACCTGTCAGATCTCACACAGCACCATACATGCGCTTATTAGCGATGTGACGTCACTACGTAAATATGAACGTAAAACTGACATTTTCCTCGAAATCCTCTCCGACAGTTAAAAGGTATTAGTATTACTGATGGTTTCTACTAGAAACCATCAGCCTCTCATAATTGAGCCTCTCATAATCGGCCTCTCATAATTGAGGCCGATGCGATACGCATCTCAATGCATAGCCAACGATGCGATACATTGAAGATAAATAAGAAGCAGCTACCGATGCGATGCGATACGATACGATACGATTCACCCCTATTACGATGCAGTGTGATCCAATTTCGATTTGATTCGATTCAACACAATGCGTTTCGATGCAATGCGATGCAATGGAAAAAAATACACACATTAACTCATTTGAGTTTAGTAATTTTAGCAGGCTACTCTATTAGCTTACATTTAATTTACCCATTACAGTACTCCCTGCTATCATAAAAATACACTTATGTATAGGTTAAAAATTCTACAAAAGGGACATTTAATGTCCAACAAAAAATATTTTAGCAAAATGCATATTTTACTCAGAATTATTGCACGCCGTCTGTTTAGCGCGCATGCTTACAGCAGCGCTCATTCACTCGCGTAAGCCTTGCCAATCCTGACAGCAAAATGGATATATTTGCATGAATTTCTAACATTTACAGATGAAAAAATATACCTGTGACATGTCAGTTATGCAACAGTAAAAACACAAAACACAACGTCTCAAATGCATTAAACAGCACAAATATATTCGCTGTTTGCCATGGTGGATCGATTAGATCCATGATCGACATAAAGGACTTTAATCCCCTTTATTTATTTATTTTTTATTCATGCTTAAACAGATAATACAAAAAGAACATAGTCAAGGGATCACATACAAATCCAGAAAATAATAACCAATAATAATGACCACAAACACATTAATAATAACTTAAATACTGTTACAAAAAAAAGAAAAAAAAAGAATGTGAATGGCATTCCAGATACATTACAATGATATAAAAAACAATCACACACAAGGAAAGCATCTAAAAGCATGAATTTTCTTTAAATACTTCTGTATAATATTTCAGAAACTGTAGGGCTTTTTTATTCTTGATAAGATGAAGAGATTTTAGAAGTGAGTTTAATTAAATTTTAAAAAGGGGATAGGATGGAAAAGTATTTACGAATTTTTGTTTGTGAATGAAATATTTACCAAATAAAATAGAAAAATTTGTAGTTTGTTCCAGGGGTTTATTTTTAGTGTTATTATAATAAAAAATAATGTATTTTAAACTAAAGGAATGTAATCCCCGCTTTTCCTCAGGTCTCCATAGTGTTGTGATACGTCATATTCACGCAGAAGCAGTGATGACAGAATGCGTTTGAGAAACAGTTTAGAGAAGATAAATCAATCTACATATGAAATATTGGTCACAGGTCACTTTCTAAACACTTTTCTAAACAAAGTATAGTGCATCAACTAGTAATTAAATAAATAGTTTTTTACCAATGCAAATATGTTAGAAATTATGCATCGCAATTCAAATGCTAACTTGTATCCGATGCACACTTTTTTAAATCGATGCATCGCATCGTTAACATTTTATGCCGATGCACAGAGCGAATCGGTGAATCTTCCCATCCCTACTTTATTATTTCTGTGACATATTTGTTTGTTGTATTAGTTGTTTTCACTCATTCATGTTCAATAAAATCAGAGGAACCGGCATGATAATATCAAAAGCTGACATGTTTGTGTAAACTAATTTATCAATTCCTCAGCAACTTCAGCCCTTTATTCACATTATGCTTTTGGTCTTGCCATTATATAACAGCTTGACTAAAACATATTTCTAAATGTCTGGTGTATCTTTTTATAGAAAAAATTAAATTAAACGTGTGAGATATATCCGTTCAAAAAAATACAGTTTAAAAGGCACTGCCTAACAGAGCTGAAATGTATCCTTGCTTTTATTTCGGGAGCCTTGCATGTCTCTAAAGAGGAAGTGTGTCAGTAATTGACTTATCGGTTATTTGGAGCCAGGATAAGTTGTGTGGATGTGTTTGGCCTGTTGTGGAAGGAAGTTAATTGATAATACATGATGAAAGGAGAGATGAGCGATGCCCCTCGTTGTATATGTTTGTATGTGTGTACACGTTCACGCTCCATCCTCGTGCTCTCCACAGCGAGAGCAACAAGACCCACTGATGATGGCCAATTTCCTTGAGACTCTGCATGGATGATAACATCGAAGCTCTTTCAAATGTAAATGCATCCGACAACATACATACACACAGAGTTGTATGAACACATCAGCAGCAGCAGGTGAGTAGGGACAGTAAGTGGTGGTTTTAACAGATGCCTGTAGTCAGATTACTGCTGTTGAATTGTGAGCTTGAACAAAGAGAGCACCAATCGGGCATCCCATATGGAGCATAACTACACAAGCAGAAATGATCACATACAGAGAAAAAAATCTGAGCAAAGATGAATGTGGCACTCAAGTAAACAAGCGGCCCCAGCAAGGCAACAATCTCAAAATGCGTGTCATACACAAATATACAAAAGAGCAGTTTCTGGCATCACTTAAATCTTTTTCACAACTATACAAGAAAAGTATTGTTGATCAGAGGTTTCTCTTTTGTAGCTTGGGAGATTTAATGGCGGTATGGTTGTTAGATTTCACTCACGTATGAACGTTGGTCTCAGATGAGACATTTGTTGACATGAATGTGGATATCATTGCTAAGAAAATGTAGTCTTTAGAAAATGTAAACCTTTTTGATCATAGACTTCAGTATCTTGGCAAATCGTGCACAGTTTGAGACACTGTTGAGAACTGTTCTTAAAATTTCTAGAGGAGATCAGTTGTGTAAAATCTTGAGTAATTGTTCATCATTACTGAGCTAAGTAATGTTAGGGAACTTGTATTTTACTTAAGAGCCATATAATTGCAAGTATTCAGTACCAAGGCAAAATGACATTCGTGTTAAAGTTATTATTATTATTTTATGCCTCGCTTTTTCATTTAGCCTTCCAAATTACCAAGCCTTTTTGCAAGTCATCAGGACCTAAAACTTTCCTCTTTTTGTTCATTTTTCTGAGCATTCAAATTCAAATTAAAGACAAACTTGACCCAAATAATGTGTATATATATTTCACAAAAAAAAAACAAAGATAATGAATTAAAAAAGTTCTAAGAACAAATTATCTTATTTATTAAGTTCACAACAGGTATAACAACTACTTTTCTAACTAGATACTTTAATTGAGTAAAAGTTTTACACAGTGCCAATAACTTCATTTACATATAATTTACATTCATAAATTTTTATAGAGGAAGGATCTGAGAAGCTTTCCATATTCTCTCCACATATCTCCATATTAGTTTATTAGAAATTAAATATATTACAGAAATGTCGTTTTTCCCTTCCCATGCAGTCTCACCTGGTAAATAAAGTCCTATTCAAGAATTTAAAGAGAAGCTAATATGTTTATTTATATACCAAATTATGCTACTGTTGTTTATTTTCATAACATCTCATGCCTTTACAGGATGTCAGATGAGATCTGAAGTCTTAGCTATGATGTCTGTTTCAGCAGGGTGAGACAGGTGCACCTGTGCCTACCCACACCTGCACACTAATTAAGACAGTCAAGCTGTCACTCACCTCACCTGTCAATTACTGAGCTATAAGGTAGTCCCACTGGGAGTCACCCCCTTAGAAAATAAGCTCAATTCACACCTCATTATAACTTAATAGATGATTTAACGCTCTTAATAGTGTTACACAATGGAGCTAGGCTTTGATAAAGAAGCAACAAATCCCAAACCTTAAATTAACGCATGCTCTTTCTCTCTCAAGTAGAAGGATGCTTTGTTCAAAGATCAACTTTGTCTAGAACAATTCAAATCGTAATCTTTTTGGAGAGAAAAGACAAAACTGGTTTGTGATCAGTAGTCTCGCTTTAATTTGAAGTGATCTGTGGTTTGATAATAATTATAGCAGGCTCTCAAAGCATTCATAAATAACTTATCAGCTCATACAGCGTCTTCCTCATTCCTAGACTTCAGATTTAAAGGGCATCTCTGTTTGTTCCATTCCTTGATGCCAGCATTGTATTGATTCTCAGTGAAGGTGAAGCGTACTGAATTTAAGACACAGACAGTATTATGTGTTGCATCTATGTTGGACAGTTTTAGTTTAGCTTTATTTATATACACTGTAAAATCCAATAGTTTACCTTACTTAGATATAATTAGTTATCTTTACTTAGTTGTTATACTTACTCGGTTTTATTACGTAACAGCTAATTTTAAGGCGAATAAAACAACTTGCTGCAATGAGTAACTCTTACTTAAAATATTCAAGTAGCCACAACAAAATCGATGACATTAATACACCAGTGGGAGGCAGCAGTGCGCTAATGTGTTGCTAATGTGCAACAAAACAACAGAAGAAGTAGTACGGAAGGTTGGAGAGCATGAGCAACAAGCAACCAAGCAACGTTTTTTGAATTTGTGCGCCGAATTTGCTGAGACTGCTTGCATTTTTACCACTGGACAAAGACTGATTACTTCTATACAATAATAATAAGGTAAGTTTCAAAAAATAATTGTCAATGTATCTTTCTGTGTGCTGCTAATTTTAACTGACTAACCTTGTCAGCGGTGTTAGCTAACAGATACCAAAGATTTTTGCTATTCTGCCGTTAGAAATAAGACTGTAGAAATACAGAACTTGTGGCGTATTTTGGCGAATTTAAGACTTTTTTACTTTTCAAACTGAAAAATTTGTAGCTAGTTAAAAAATTAAAAGTCAGAGGTACAATTCAAGAACATGCCAAAAGTCCTCAAGATGAGCTCACAGTAGGTTTTAAAGTCAATCTTTATGTGCCACTGATAATTAATTGTTTACTGTAATCTTTTGCAGTGTTAACACTAATTTTATAACACTGAGGCTTTGGACAGTTAAGTTATTTTTAAGTTAACCATGTTATTGTCAATATTTTTAATACATCACAATCATAGTCTTTACGTGATCACACATTTAAGGTTTAAACTGAATGAGCTCTTTGTCTTGCAGTAATTATTGCTTTGCTGTAGTAACACTTACTACTGTAATACAGAGGAAATGCTGCTTTTCAATTGGTTTTATGACTGAGGCCTCAAGTAGATATGTATAGAAGTTTTCTTTCTTTCTTGTAAAGTATGCAAATATCAAGGAATGAATGTGTCTGTAATCTACAATTCACAACAATAGTGGAACTTGCCTTTAACTGAATAATTATTTGTCATATTAAGGACAAGTGCTTGTGGCACTTGTGGTCTTCTCTGAACAGCAGTCTGGTGAACACTGACCGGCCTCAGTACACTGAAGGTAAGGTATTTCATTTTTAATCTCTTATACAGCAGTAGAGCAGTTTTTGACTCAATCATGTGCTACACTTTATTTACAATATTAAATTATTTTTCAAATAATTTCTTGCGATTGAAGTATACATGTAACCACTGTATTTCTTTTATTTTTTTCACAGATCTAAGAAAACACTTCACACCCTACAACCCCTAAAAATGTATGTTGCTACCTTAAATGTTTTCAATATTTTTTATTATATTTAATAATAATATTTAAAATAAACCATGTCATTGACTTCTTTATTGACACTTTGACAAACATATTTGTACTGTAATTTTTGAATGTCTTAAACTTGTTTTTCTTTTTTTACTTCTAGAACCCAGATTTGACAGCAGTGCACACCCATCTGAGGCCGACCTGTTTTACTTCATGATCACCCCAGATACTTCTACAACTAACCCGCTTTGTAAGTTCTCATATTAGCTACACCTTAAAGAAGCACATCATTTTGGGAAAATTTCCTGTGTATTTGCTGGTAAATTACTGAGATACTTTTATAAAGATTAATGTTGATTATATACCTAGTTCAACAAAAAATGAAAATTATGCCACTTAATCGCCCTCCTGTCATTCCATCCCATAAAAAGTGTGCATCTTCAAGACATGAATGATTATATTAACCCCAAAACTCTGACACCCAAGAAACCATAAAATAAATCCATATGAATGGAGCCGTGTAATCTACTTTTGGGCCAAACTGTTCAATGAATGGTAAGGAGCAGTTTCAGTTATATTTCCACTTGAACTTGGTTAGGCATAGTCTGATCACAAACCATTCTTGATCTGGAATTATTAGCCGAACATGCTGAACCGTGCTGTAGAATGCCTGAAGTGACGTCGCTGCTCAGGACTGTCATTTGTCTTTTGCTTAGCCAACAGTTTCTCTGTAGCTGGCAAAGCCTGCTATTTGAGTGAAGTAAACAAGTTGACAAACAGCACGCAAAACGTCCGACTGCTTTTGTATGCAAACAAACACACACGGCTAAACTCTGGCGCCTACAAGCTCAGCATCAAACTCACTCCGAGTTTGCATATTGCAATGCTATTGCCTCGAGCAACAGTCGGCATGTTAAAGAAATTAAATAAATAATATCTAAATCAATGCATCTCGCCATCTGTCTACAGTGACCCTGTCAGATATTCACTTGACTATCTATTTTTGATCAACCAGATCCCTAGCTGTTCCAAATGCTAACTTGAGAAACACAAGAATTGACCCAATTTAGATTAGAATGTCTGTAACTTGGATTCAAAACAGCAGATACTGTCATCACAGAAGCAGAAAAGGCCTGCCTATATATAAAATGCTATATTGTAAGCAAAATTATGCACAAGTGCATAAGGTCATTATAGCTACGGTAGCATTTGATGGTTTATTTTCTGTAGCAGGGGCGGCTTTTCCAGCTGATTCAAGCCATAAATTGTGATTGTATTTTTTAAGGTTATAGATGGGGCTATAGTTTTGAATTTCAGTGGAATGAAAGATTAAATTAGCATAAATTGCGTAAGTAAACATGTCCAATGGGCACTTTTGATGTATGGAAACCGTTATGGATTTTGTTTTTTTTTTTTTGCTATTCTTTGCTGTCAAAAAAAAAAAAAAAACAGTTTGTTCTTTTAATTTGTTATTTTTCAAGTTTAATGATACAATTTTAATACAAACATACATACATACATAGCCTGTATATATATATATATATATATACACACACAAACACACACACAGTATATTCTGCTTTAGCCATCACTACATCACTTTTGTCATTTTCTTATTTAAGCATTAAACTAAAGCTTATAAAGAAAACTTGTAAAAAGTATGTCTAAAATGCGTACATCCTGTGTTTGATTTTTCGTAGCTGTGCATCACAAGTTCGCTCTGTGCTCAACAATGATCATTTGCTCAAGGGTAATTTTTCTCACTGAATGGGAGTCTGAAAGGGAAAAAGGAAGAACATGCATGTTTTCTTTGTTCAGTTTTAAATGTATATTTATGCAAGACAGTTCTACTTTAGACAGTTTTTGCCTTATGTGGATTGATATTGTGAAAGAATATTGCTATAGTGGACCTTTTAAAATTTCCTCAGTCAAAATGCCTTAAAATAGTAAAAAAGTTGATAACGGGCGATCTTTGGGATGGGGAAGATTAGCCTTAAATTACTTACATGATACGGTTTTAGTATAAACTGTATTGACCACTGTGTTGTGTGTAAACAGTTGATGTGCACAAACGATTTTTTAAAAATGTGTACGTTTGTGTTCCACTGGCTTCAGATGGATTTGTAACCACAGACAGGAGTAAATAATTACAGAAGTTTTCATTTTCATCTCATAATTAAATGTCTGACTCCCAATTTTATGTGTAGTCTGGTTCTTTAAAAACAACAACAACAAAAAAGCAATTACCTCCTCCTCGTGTGCATTACTTTGGATATAAATATATGTGATTTTATAGGAATAATTTGTGGCCAAATGATCAGTAACGTCTTATTGATGCATGCCTAGCATGTCCTCTTAGCAGCACTATAGGGTGACAACAGGGAGTCTGAACACAGCTGTGAATAGCGTGATTTCAACAGAAATGAAGTTTTGTTTGTGCCAAGTGAGCCACTGTTGTTGTTTATGCCAAATGAGCCAAAGCTGGCAAAACAAATAAAAACAAGTCTATTTTATGAAAATGTGATTTTATTTTCTTAATCTATTTTTCCCCCATCTTTGTATTTCTTCACTATGTTGTAGTAATATACATGCATCTGGAGGACAACTCTTCAAGCCACCACAATGGCATACTTTGTGGTGGACAAAGTCGACACACTTCAATATTTGCCCCTATTATTATTATTATATATTTTTTTATGTTTTTCCCAATGCATTTATTAGTCGCATAAATTACTGTCAGCATCCACATTTTGAAACCAGAGACCTGTAAGGGGCACATCAATCTTCACACATGTGTGCTGTCTGTTTTTTGTCATCAGACTGTTTGGTCGAGCATGAGCGGATGCTAGCCTGGAGTGCTAACGCCCACAAGCCGTTTATTCCTTTCATACTAATAATGAAGGAGGGAGAGGCCAGTGGAGAAAAAATACAGCTCTTGAAAGCTGTATGGATAGCTGGATTGTAAAGATGTGGCTGAGAGATATAAGTGACTGGAACTTGTACTGTACGCATCTTCAAGATCTGAAATTCTTTACATCCACAGACCATCAACATAGCTTTTTTTAACACTTTAGCAATAATAATACCAGCAAATAAAGGTATTAGCCATTAAGCTCATTTTCAGTAGACTTAGCTGGTAAATTAGATAAGCCCCAGTCCCTTCAAAACCAGTGGTGTATGGGATCACCCATGGTAGTGGCCCCCTCAGTGTGTTTTGATCTAATTATGGTTAAATTAGCCAATACTAGAGCGATTTAACTCTCGAATCAAAGCAGCAAATATACAGTGTGCTTACTGTTGGTATAAATTAATTTGCACAGGAATTACAGAAGCAGGAAACAATGTATCACATGCTCAATGTTGATTATTGATTTACTTGTACAGCTTAGCAAACACATGGTGCATGCTGAGTGACACAAACAAAGCGGTGTACAGTGTAAAGATCCTGTAGGATCCTCTGACAGTTTAACTGCTTAATGTCGCTCCATTCTGGAATATAAAAAAGCAAATGTGTTTGCTCATCCAATGTACTTGTTTGTACAAGTGTTTGATCTCTTTTGTCTGATTCTTCTTTCACTGGACTCGTATCTGAGCGCTTCACATCACAAGTACAATGCTGTACCAGGTGAGCTACCAAGCAAGCTTACTACTTTCTAAAGCCCTACATTTTGAGCTGCTTATGTGACGCAAACATATTAGTCTACAAATTATTTACAATGGTAATAACATAGTATTGTGGAAGGAACCATGTGAAAACAAGTGTTGATTAATTGATAATCTCCCACTGTAATGATATTGTGAACAGGAATGAAAGTTGTTTTACTTACACTAGTGTTGATTTAGCAGTTGAAAAGTGCAGTGAACTGTACGTATAGGTACGTTTTTGGAGTTTTTCAAAAATAGGTAGAGCCACGTTTCAGTATGTTGCACATGCAACAAAACAAAACAATCAAACCAAAAACTCATCACGCTAGTAAAGCTTATAATAAAATTAATAGCTTCTCAGCATGCACACATTCTTCTCTGTGTCCATTACACCCAATCCTCTTAGTCTACAATTAGCTCTGGAGAGTTGCACCATTACATCTGTTTCAGGAAGATGACCCTGCCAGGTTTATTTGGAACAGATGTGTCAGGTAAACCTATTTTAGCTGGGTGCTATGGTGATGAGCATCGCAAAACTCAGCTTTTGACTGCAACCATCCGCTGTTTCATTTAAAAATTCACACTCCTCGATCAGAGCGCTATACGGAATCACCATGGTGACTAAACTCTGTTTGGAGGGCTTCCAATGGCACTTCTCCTGTCTGCTTTACTCTTCCTGGTACTCCATTAAAATATGCTCAGGCTAGGGATGTTTACTGGCATGTTTGTGCCTGTTTATCGTTCCGTTAATTTACCTTCATCTACCTGGCTAATGAGTGGAACGCAAAGCATGGAACACGGAACAAATGGAGCTGCTTTATAATTAAACTTTGCATTAGGCGGTAAATGGTCACCTGCTAATCTCGGCTCTGCCTCACGTGTGCACTAGTTCTCCTCAATCGGCTTGCTAATGTATGCCTTGTTCATCCTTATGCATGGCATCATTCCTTTCACATATGCCATAAAAAATATATATCAGCAGTTCTGTTTCAAAAAGTGTCCACATATATCAAGCATTTGAATGAGCTTCTTTCTTTTACGACTCGTACATCCTACACTGGTTTGCTAGTGGACTCCCCCACACATTTAATATCACATAGTGTGCAAAAGCTCTCACTCTCTTTTGCTCTCCTTCTCACCTTTGAATGTGTGGACGGCTATCTCATGGGAAACGGCGCATTGTAGAATAAAAGTCTATCTTCCTGCAACGTTCCGTCTCCCCAGGCATTTCACATTGTAAACATGGAGCTCAGAAAGTGCTTTGCCTGTTTTAAAGTGTCCGTCAATGAGATTTTCTCCATTTGTGGGAAGCCACAATTTGAAGTGCCGATTCCCGAGAGAGCTCTCTGTCTGTTTGGACCTGGAAGTCTGTTTGGATTGTGTGAATGTTCTCTTCCATTAACCGCACATTGAGGGGGAACAAGTTTATTCTGTTTGAATGTGTGTGTGTGTGTGTTTTTTTTTCATAAAGAAAGTGAATATGTGAATGCAGTGAAATGACTGTAAGCCTCAGCCTTGAACTTCTGTAGAGTATCCTCTGTTTTCAAGATCCTTCTGTTTTTGATGTACATACTGACATTCTTTACCATGGACTGTTTTATCTGATGGGTTGATGAAGGTCAATATGACTAGAAAGAGTCAAAAAGGGAGAAAAAAAACCCTGAGAAAATCCATTTTGAGTGTATGTTAACTGTAAAAACAGTAAAGTCGGCATCAATGAAAATTCAATTCAGTCTATTTTCTAAACACATAATATAGATCTTTATAACAGATCATCTGTTTCCTTTTTTAATTTTTCAAAATGTATTTAAATGTAACTGAACTTTCCGGTGAAAATGACTCTGGACTTCTCCAATCATTTTGTCCACCTAAACTCTTGCAAGCTCGCATTCACCTGCCTTCATTTTTGAGTGCAATGCTCACATTTTACAATCCAGTTAACAACTGATGCATAGAACCAGTCCTCATCCTACATTTTTTCTATCGATAATTCA